TTCCCAAGGTCTCCAAAGAGCCATATTTAGGACACACAAGAACAATTAACACAACAATTAAATCAACAAGTAAACAGAGTATTCAAAAGTCAAAAACACACAAACAAATAAAATCTATGAAAAAACACGGACAGACTAAAGAAAACACGTTTATTCACCGCTACACGGCACTGGCTAAACTGTTTCAATTTTCAGTAGCCACCTGCACTTGTTCCGAGCTCTGAAATACACGCTTTCTCATTGGCTATGTCCACGCATAGGCGTGCTTTACTCCACGTGGACCGGTGAAACTGCCTTTGATCTCTTATACGGGGGATATTTGCTGCGAAATTTGGCGATTTTTGCAGCAACAGAGCGTGTTAAATATAGATATATAAAACGCACCCGGTATTTCACAGTGTTTCAAGTGACTTCAGATAAAGTATACATATAACATAAAAAATGTAATATTTACGAAATTTTTCGCCAGTTGGCGTGGTTAGTAAAAGTCGAAATGGAAAATTCTCACAAATGCAAGGTCTTCGTTTCATCAGATTTATATATCAATGCGTAGGAAGTGATGTCAATCTACTTGATTCCAAGTTTAACAGTATATTGCCGACTCCGCGATTTCAGGCACTAGTATTATTTCTGCCTGCTACGCATTTCATCGAATAAAACTGTTTTGTTTGTTTCATGATACGTGCCAAAGAGATGCCGAACCACTTCAAAGAATTACGTATAGAGTGTAATATGTGTAGCACCCACTCAAAGAATTAGATAAAAATAAAACCATGTCCCTCAATTCTGATTAGGTATAACTTTTATATACGGTGTAATTTCATTGATATGATTCCTTAGTTAATTTTAGGAAGAAAAGTTTTTATGAACATATGACCTAAACCCCTTAACTTTTCAGCTACAGGGTGTTGAAATTTTGAGAAAAAACTAGTTTTCTTTTAATAACTTTAATACTGTTCTAGATATTGTCACGGAATTTGACATGCACCTACTGCGCACCAATAGGCCGCTTCACGGCACTTTAGAATTTTGTGATGACCATATTCGCATTCAGCATCACAAATTACCTTGGTGTGGAAAGTTTCTTTCACTTGTGACACCAGGAAACGAAAATGGAAATTTTGCCCTATAAATTCCTATGTTTTTTCAGATTTCCTATGAAAAAAAATCTAAAAATACCTTCGTATTTGTGATACGTACGAATACTCGGCTCTTAGGTAAATCGGTAGCGTAGATTCTGAATCTGATGCCAATTTGACGATAGCGGCCACGTGTTCTGCAGAACGATCGATTTTCCACCTGAAACCCGGCTCCACGGCACTTTAGAATTTTTTGATGACCATATTCGCATTCAGCGTCACAAATTACCTTGATGTGGAAAGTTTCTTTCACTTGTGACACCAGGAAACGAAAATGGAAATTTTGCCCTATAAATTCCTATGTTTTTTCAGATTTCCTATGAAAAAAAAATCTAAAAATACCTTCGTATTTGTGATACGTACGAATACTCGGCTCTTAGGTAAATCGGTAGCGTAGATTCTGAATCTGATGCCAATTTGACGATAGCGGCCACGTGTTCTGCAGAACGATCGATTTTCCACCTGAAACCCGGCTCCACGGCACTTTAGAATTTTTTGATGACCATATTCGCATTCAGCGTCACAAATTACCTTGATGTGGAAAGTTTCTTTCACTTGTGACACCAGGAAACGAAAATGGAAATTTTGCCCTATAAATTCCTATGTTTTTTCAGATTTCCTATGAAAAAAAATCTAAAAATACCTTCGTATTTGTAATACGTACGAATACTCGGCTCTTAGGTAAATCGGTAGCGTAGATTCTGAATCTGATGCCAATTTGACGATAGCGGCCACGTGTTCTGCAGAACGATCGATTTTCCACCTGAAACCCGGCTTCACGGCACTTTAGAATTTTTTGATGACCATATTCGCATTCAGCATCACAAATTACCTTGGTGTGGAAAGTTTCTTTCACTTGTGACACCAGGAAACGAAAATGGAAATTTTGCCCTATAAATTCCTATGTTTTTTCAGATTTCCTATGAAAAAAAATCTAAAAATACCTTCGTATTTGTAATACGTACGAATACTCGGCTCTTAGGTAAATCGGTAGCGTAGATTCTGAATCTGATGCCAATTTGACGATAGCGGCCACGTGTTCTGCAGAACGATCGATTTTCCACCTGAAACCCGGCTTCACGGCACTTTAGAATTTTTTGATGACCATATTCGCATTCAGCGTCACAAATTACCTTGGTGTGGAAAGTGTCTTTCACTTGTGACACCAGGAAACGAAAATGGAAATTTTGCCCTATAAATTCCTATGTTTTTTCAGATTTCCTATGAAAAAAAATCCAAAAATGTCTTCGTATTTGTGATATGAACGAATACTCGTCTCTTAGGTAAATCGGTAGCGTAGATTCTGAATCTGATGTCAATCTGACGATAGCGGCCACGTGTTCTGCAGAACGATCGATTTTCCACCTGAAACCCGGCTTCACGGCACTTTAGAATTTTTTGATGACCATATTCGCATTCAGCATCACAAATTACCTTGGTGTGGAAAGTTTCTTTCACTTGTGACACCAGGAAACGAAAATGGAAATTTTGCCCTATAAATTCCTATGTTTTTTCAGATTTCCTATGAAAAAAAAATCTAAAAATACCTTCGTATTTGTGATACGTACGAATACTCGGCTCTTAGGTAAATCGGTAGCGTAGATTCTGAATCTGATGCCAATTTGACGATAGCGGCCACGTGTTCTGCAGAACGATCGATTTTCCACCTGAAACCCGGCTTCACGGCACTTTAGAATTTTTTGATGACTATATTCGCATTCAGCGTCACAAATTACCTTGATGTGGAAAGTTTCTTTCACTTGTGACACCAGGAAACGAAAATGGAAATTTTGCCCTATAAATTCCTATGTTTTTTCAGATTTCCTATGAAAAAAAATCCAAAAATGTCTTCGTATTTGTGATATGAACGAATACTCGTCTCTTAGGTAAATCGGTAGCGTAGATTCTGAATCTGATGTCAATCTGACGATAGCGGCCACGTGTTCTCCAGAACGATCGATTTTCCACCTGAAACCCGGCTTCACGGCACTTTAGAATTTTTTGTTTCTTTCACTTGTGACACCAGAAATTATAATATATATCTCAAGTTATATATAATATGGCGTCCATACGTGATGTGTACTGGAGATTTCTCAAAAAAATTTGGAATCATTTATTTTGCAACAAATTTGACCTCTTGACTTTATTCCGTCCGATGCACCGTTTTCGCGTAAAAAAATGTTCATGCATTTGTGGTATAATGAACTTATTTTGATCTAGTAGGATGGTGGCCTATTTTGTTTTTAAAATAATGACGTTCGAGTTTTGTTTTGACAAGTAGATATTCATAAACGTGATAGTTTTTTACATTGTGAAAGTTTCTTTAATCAATAATAAAGAGAAAATAAGTAAACTGTGGCAAGATTTACGAAGATTGCTTCGATTAAATAATGTGACACGATTAGTACATTACCACCGCATCCTGAAACAAATCTTGACGGAATATCAAAAATTCCCCGGACCCGCAGAATACTGAATTTTATTTATATGCGATTTCAGGCATTGATATTTTCTCTGCCTACTACGAATACCACTCGATAAAACTTATGTTTCTTTTATAGTACATGCCAGAGAGTCCCGAACACATTCAATGAATTACTTATTACGTGCAATCTATAGGTGTAACGCCTCATTAGCTAATAAAAATTTAAGTCAGCCAATTCTGAAGGTTCAATGTTTATATTACTTCTATGATCCAACTAAAAGCTTTAATATGTGTACCTGTTGCTTTTATTATTCGTTTATTATGATAAATAAATATTCTTACCTGCCATGACGGAAGGATGTCCGAGATGTTTAAGGATTTACACAATAATATGCGGAAAAGAAAAATTCATTCTATATAAACCGCTTGAACGTTCTACTCGTAAAAGTTGCACAAAGATGAAAGATTGACAAGATTTCTTATAGCGCAGCAGATTTGCGACCAATCATCTAGCTTCGATTGTTTCATGTGACACGATCGGTATATTACAGCACCAAGGAACAAATCTTGGACAGAATATCACAGTTTCCCCGTATCCACAGAGCATGGATTGGGTAATCTGAATAGCTTGTTTTTTATAAGCTGGATCACATCAGAATCTATTATATTGCTATTTCAAAAATCATGATTTTTATATGTGGGCAATTTTAAGAGATATTTTGGAGTACTGTTACTGTCCCATGATAGATGGCGCAACATTCGTAATAGAGATGGGAATATGGAAACATTGATCTACTGTTAGGTTTTGTCGGGAGACAAATTTTCAGGGATGTTCCGACATGCACAATTGTGCATATCATGCACAATTTTACGAACATATGCACAATATGCACCCCCACACAAAATATGCACAATCGACAATAAATAAAATGCATTTTTTTGATACAAAACTGGCAATACATTTTCTTAACAACTGCACGAACTGAGTGAAATGTACTGTTAGACACATACAAAATACGAATCCAGTAACTATTTGTTACGCATCCGAGTCCCGATGATTGTTGATCATTGATGCCCTTAGTTAAATTTAATAAATAAATATTATTTTATTCTTGTATTATTTTCTTAACTTCTCATTAAACAATAAAAAGGTTCCATGAGATTTCAGTTTTTTTAAATTGGCCGTTGCGCCAGAAAATCAGTATACATACATATATGTACATTTTTAAAGAAATATGCACAATTTCTATTTACATCTTTGCACGATTCAAAATCTATTGAGAACAACACTGCACATTTTCTATTTTATAATTATTTAACGACACTTTAAGGTTAAGTTATTTTCAGAAATTGTTTGGGTGGATTTTTGCTATAAATCATTATAAATAAAACACTTTATTCGCAAACATTTTATATATTGTCTCCTATATTTTCAGATATAATTTTGTCCTCCACAGAACTGGTAGTTTTTCTCTGATAATTTTCATACCGCCCGGCAATAAAATTCTCAAATTCATCCAAAGTATCATTTGCAATACACTGTCTAATTTTCCTAAAAAACCTCAAATAGTGATGAATATTGTGAATCATAATCAAAACCGGGGCCAACAATTCTTGCACGGTCAGCAGGTGGTGGATATAAGCTCTAGTATATTTTTTGCAGGCCAAACATTCACAGCCATCTATGATAGGGGTAAAATCCTCAGCTAACGAGTGATGACGTAAATTTATCTCATAATCGTTGTTTTCGTCACTTGTGTCAATCTGAAACGTCATTGCAGCGGATCTTTCCGTCAAAATGTGACAGTACGAAGTGTCAAACATGTCAATGCCACATTGGACTAACTTGATGACGTTCAACGGGCTCCAGCAACCTTGGACCGAGCAGAGTTTCTCTGGTGGAAGTTTGTCGACACTGAATTCTAGGATGCTTTTGATTTCTTCGAAAGGGAGGAATTCTACCTCGGGACCGTTGTTGTGAAGGCCGTCGATCAGGAAACCGTCGATTTCGTTTGCATCTATGAACAATGCCCTGAAATGAATGAAAGAAAATCAAATAAAGGTGCAATCGTTTACCGAAGAGTTTCAAAAGGTAACTAAGTCCTTCAACAGAAAGATGTTGATGTATACCCTATTTCACGAGTATCCATCCCGCTTTGACGTCTACTGAGATGAACAGCTGAACAGCAAGTGACATTTTTGTGTAAGTCTGAGACGTTGGCAATAATGAATCGGGTGTAAAAGAGCTGTTAGTAAGTACAAAATGAATCTGCATCGTACAAAAAACAAAACAAAATATCCATCAACCTGACGTTGACGGATCCGTCAGAATTGTGTCCTGTGCCGATATGGGGAATTTTGAGATACTACTAGATCAGCTGTCATTCTACCGTGATGGATACTCGTGAAATAGGGTTTATATAACACTGTTTTGACCTTGTAAATTTCTTCACAACAATAAATTCACGAATAAGCTGCCATATTAGAGCTTGTTTAATTTTCCAACAATTTTATGGGGAATTCTACAATTCCAGTTACTTTTGGTTCTCTTTCATGCATAACTGATACTCACTCAATACAATGCTCTCTAGATTTCAAACAGTACCCTCCTGCAATAGGGGTCATAACAAACATTTTCTTCAGAACTTCTGACTTTCTGTGTCTCTCCAAACACTGCTTATTAAAGACAACAGTCTGCTCTACAGCTTTGGCAATACGCTTTTGTGGACTAGTTTTATTTGTATCGCCATCAGACAGCAGGTAATACATGTTGGGTTTAAATGATTCAACTACATCCATGTACATATCAGCATCATACAAAACTTTGCCTCGCTTAGTCCAAATAGGAATTTTATCTCGCGTGTGATGCCCTTGCTTTGTTAAATTACTTGGGTCATGGAGTGTAAGACACGTAAGACTGTTTTTGCTGCCAATGAACTCGGATATGGTGCCATTATAGTAAGTCATTGTATCTTTGAAACTGTGCATGCTGACCAAGGGAATCTGTAGAATTTGGGGCTCCTTGCTGACCAGTTTGAACACCTCGTGTGTGATGTGAGGTATGTGGCCCCCTTGTGTATGTAGCAGAACTACCGGTGTTTCTATTTCAACTTCGGACTTGCCTTCTATACACCTTAGAACGCCCAATCGAGGACATCGTTTCGTGGAACTGCGTACGAAAAATTTCATGGTGTTTGGTATTGCAACACAAAAATTTTTATTTGTGTTTTGAAATTTTTGTGAACAGTGCGACTACTTAACCACCAAAACACAGATTAAGAACGCCGATTAAGAATCCAGATTTTATGTATTCTACTTTCATGTCTTACACCATCTTCTAGGTTAATAGTCGATAATTTAGAAATATCGAATATTATCCCAACTCTATCTTTTTGTCTTAGGTGCAGACTCGGCTTTAGGTGTGAGCAGAGAACAATAAACAACTATTTTGGTGTTATGTGGAGTAAATCAAATTCCGCGCCACTTTTCAAGTTTCAAAAATGATTTTTATGGAACGTTTCATCTCGTGATTAATCAGAACATAACTTTATCATGAATACCCCAGTAGGGGAATTTAATATTTTTTTCCAATTGATTTTCAAAAGCTTGAGGTTGGATACATAACAAATAAGTTAATCTTCAAAAATTTTATGCTAGATCTTGGTGAGAAACCTCAAATGTATTCAGTACAATTTTGCCTATTATGTAATCATTTGATGGTTTATACCTGACACAATTTAAGGGATATGTCTAGGAATATAAAGTAAACACAATTATAAATATATTTTGTACATATAATTAACAATGTTAAACATTGTAAAGTACATTTAACAAAGTATCACAGATGTTTATATTATGTACAATGATTATATCATAATACTAAAATTTTGTCTATACAATCATCATGATTGCTTCTTTAAATCGTCTGAGTCTGTATCACGGTGATTGAACATAATTTTAGATGCAAAAACATCATAAAGTAGTGAAACCCCATTATCAAACAACACTCTATACTTTGTAGATAAGAAATAAAAGTTCACAAACTGGGCTGGGGGCCAAATTATCCACTCTGCTAGGTACAGTTTCCACGACTTATCCTTGAATTCTTCCACAATTTGTTCTTTAGTTGATCCTTCGGCAACATTAAGGGTAACGAAAAATGCACTTAGGTACAGTGGGGAGCCTATCAACATGTCCAACATGACTTTAGTGAAAACAATCCTGAGAGTCTGTCCTGGTATAAGTTTATCTAAGTTCATGTACCAGAAATGACACACAGTCCCCACGGATATTCCTGCAATGGCCATATTTCGAGTCCTTATTGGGTCCCATCGTTTTATAACGCCTTGGTAGTATTCCACCTGCTGCTCTATGACGTCTCCTAGTCCAGATAGGCTACAGGAAATCCCTATATTTGTGAACAACAAATATTTCTTGCTAAATGCTTTTTTGATAACGTAACTGGCGTTTCTTGCTACAAATGCTTTAAAGAGTGCATGACTGAATGACATTATACGTGGATATCACAAAAATTCTTCCACAAATATTCGATTCTTGAGTATGAACAAATGCTTGATGTGATCACAAAGATTTAATTATAAAAACTGATAGGAGATAGGACGTTATCACTTTTTCGAATATTGTTTGAAATATTCTTAATTGAGGTTAACTGATCTAGTGTGCTGTTAAGTGGGAAGAGGGGCGTGGCAATGGTCCTCACGTGACTAACTATTTTTTTGTTGAATGGTTAAATCTTGTTGTAGTAAGGCTCAACCTTCGTTATTATCCACCTGCTGTTCATTACCTTCTAATCATGTATACCTTATTTCACTCTTTGACGTCTACTGAGGTGAAGAGCTGTTCTCAAGTGACATTTTTGTGTTAGTCTGCAACGTTGGCTATAGTCGAAATCACGAAAGATGGCGATTACGTCATCATTTTAGTGTGTAGTCTGTGTAGTAAAGACATACGACAGCGATTTGTGAATATATTTAATAAAGTTCCTGATATTTTCGACAGAGACAAACAGAATTTTATTGTCTAAACAAACTGTATTGCTAATTTGCACGTATCCGACAAAGATAGACGATGTTTTCATGTTGCATGATCGATCATATTTGAAAGATGAATAGTTGGGTTATGTTAAAGCAGGTTATGTTGTTTTCGAGTTATACTTTGGTCTTTGGTGTTCCTGTCTTAAGATATTCTACTCATAACTGTTTTTTTCAAAACAAAAACTCCCAACTAAAATTATTATAAAGGTATCACTCAAAACCATGAAATAAAGTGAAAATAAAAATAATCAGTGAAATAACCTAACTTCGCAAAACCATAATATAAATTTGTTGTCATTATGTTTCTGACTCGTGATTTTATCATCGACTTACGTCCATTGATTACTTCAGCTCAATTTATGGTATGACGTAACAGTCACCTTTCGTGATTTGGACTATATAATGAATCGCGTGTAAATCTAGCGAAAATTTGTTTGTAGCGTTTTGTTGTTTGTATGCAAATGAACTTTTCTAATAAAAGAGCTGTTAGCAAAAAATTAATCTGTAGCGCATAAGAAACCAAAACAAAATATGGCTCTTTCTACCTGGCATTGACGGATTCGTAAAAATTAATCAAATCCAAGCGAATAACCAAAATTTCAGTGTTATCTGCCGCGGTTATAATATGGTTCAAGATGACACACGGGTTGATGACGTCAGTTACACGAATCGCTTGAACGCGTTGGTTTTAACCGCGGTTTTGTTGCAAGTTGTTTATTTTAGAAAAGCGCGTATATAATCTCTGATTATTTTTATTATTACTTAATAATCGATGCTTTTTCGTCTACAACTGTATATGGAAAGTTTAAATAAGAAACCTTTCATAATATTCTTGGGAGAAATGTTTTTTCAGATTTTTTTTTAATGATGGAAGCATGGCTTTGTAGCTATGATAACTTTCAATTCTCTAAATTTTTCCGTATGTCAAAGAAAACATTTATTGATTCAGCAGAAATGATGAAAAAAGAAATTAGCAAAACCGTATCCAGGTGGATATCATCTAGTGAGTTTATATGGCCATATTTTAATATTCTTGTGGTAAATGGCTACACAGGATACTTTGTTAAGCATAGGAACTACATTTAAAGTGTCCCCAACAACCGTAATGTGTATAACTAATAAGGTGCTCCACTTTATGGTAAAACTGAAGTCAGCCTGTATCATTTTTCTCAAAAATGAAGCTGAAGTACAATAACAATATGCAATACCCGGCAAAATTCTAACTTGTCACATGCCAAATAATAACCAGAAATATAAAACTACTCCTGAGTTGGGTAAATACCACAATTTTGCGGTGATAACTATGACATATAACAGCTGATTCGTGACGTCACGGATCTTATAACCAAACTGATAACTACAAACGCTTGAACGGATTGGTAAATACCAACCCAAAATGGTAAATTCCATTTCCATTTGGTTATCGGCTTGAATTTGAATATTATCCTTTGACGATATGGGGAATGTTGAACTAGATAACCAGCTGTCATTCTACCGTGATGGATACTAGTGAAATAGGGTTATATAGTGTAGGAGTAGGGGCGTGGTAATGGTGTTCACGTGACTAGCTATTTTTTTGTTGATTGATTCAATCGTGCTGCAGTAAGGTATAACCTTCGTTATTATCCACGTGCTTTTCATTTCTAATCATGTATTGTTTTGGTTTCTTCAAAAATTGAATTACATATTAAAATAATTATGAGGTAGTTTTAACATATATTGCAATTATTGTATGAATATTATTTATATGTTTTGTAGGTGGCAGTGAGCACTGAGATCAAGCACACATTGTTATAACCTTTGAAACAACTTTGCAATCATGAATTTAAAGAGAAATTCATTAGCAGATGAGCCGTTGCAGAAAAGAAGAAAAGTCGCTGACGCTGCTTTTAAAACTTGCGATTTATCTGTGGAACATGAAGATGTGGCTCTGGCAACAGATAGTAAGGATGTTTGGAAAACCTTTAGCAACTGGGTATCTACAAAGAATTTTAAGAACTTGACAAGGAACGAAATCGATGAACTAAGCAGTATTCTTGAGACTATAACACGTGAAGATACAGCTCCTTCAGATAGTTCTGCAGAAACATTAATGGTCAATACCACTTTGGCAATATTAAACAATGCTTCTTTTCAACAATACTTCAAATTGAATTGTGAAACTTACTGCAATATTTTGAAATGTGTGGTGTCAAACATACAAAGCTTGACGAATTTGAAAGAATTTTTGAAGAAAGTCCCTGTAAAATTTGTAGCTACGGAAGATAGGTTCGTGGAAGTGTTTTTAGAGAATACTTTCGATAGTTTGATCAAAAGTTTGCAAGTATTTGAGGATGAAGAAATTTTTTTTCTTGCATCAAAAACTGTTCAGAGGTGTATTTTTCTAAATAATTTCCAATCGTTTCAGACATTAGTGGAACAGGTTTTCTTAAAATCCAAAATTAAGAGACAAACTGCTCCACGCAAATTATTAAAATACCTGATGTCGTGTTGCAATGAAATCGACCAAGTCGAAACTGTAAAGATTGCTTATAAACTCATTTTTCATGCTTTGAGTGAGGCTTATAATAGTCACTATGATTTGATATTGAGGTTTTTCTATATTTTGACCCACATTTTAGGTTTTAAGATAGAGATTTCTGAACTCCAACTTGACCAATGTATTTTGCCACCAATTCATTCAGAAATTATACTTTTTGAATTATTGGATATCATAAGCCACTTAAATTTGGATCCTAATTTTGTTGTTAAGGAAATAAATCTAGAATCCTTCCTACAAAATATAGTGAAAGATATTTTGAACAGAAAAGATATATCATCAGTTAGTTACAAAATTATAAAAAAATGTATTGATATTGAACCCCTAATAGTTAATAGCCTTATTGAAGACATTATCACAAATGCCATGATACTTAAAAACTTTGAGGGCAAGTCAACAGAAAGCTCCAAAAACGAAAAGATTGAATATGAAAATCTTATATTTAGTATTTTTGATGTATACTCAAAACTGCATCGCTTTGAAGGCCTGATTAGTAAAATAGTTACACAATTTCATAGATGGTGTACTGAAGAGACTCTTAGATCGTGTATTGAAGGACAGAATTTGAAAAAAAAGCATAGAAGTAGATGTAGGTCAGGTGTCAGTGATAATATAAACATAATGTTGATTGTAAATAATATTATTTCTGATGCAATTTTGAAGAAATTCAGCAGATGTGTCGAAGCTTTGGCAGGATGGCAGATCGTAAATATATTAAAAACACTTTATCATGCAATGAAAAACGTTGTGGACATAATAGGTACATTTCATGATGGGGATTCTAAGTTTTCTGTATATCTAGAAGTATTGACACAACTGTTGTGCACATTTCTGAGCAGTATAAGGGTATCGGAACATACAGTTGCTCCTAATACAATCGAAAAAACTGTAAAATCTTTGGAAGAGTTACAGTTACTGCTGGGAGACTTTGCCAAACACCTGTTAAATAAGGAACATGATCCACAACTGATGCAATCTTTTCTTAGTATAGCATTTCATTGGGGTGAAATACGACTCATGCTAGCTTATTATTCTTCCTTTGAGTATTGCAAACCAGCAAAACCTGAACTAACCGATGCTATGGCTTGTAATGTCACTTATTTACATCCTTATCTAGATGTTCAGAACTGGTGTTTGATATCGGAGAGGGTAAAAAATTTCGGCGAAACACCATGTAAAACCTTGTTGCAAAAATTGTTCGTACAAAAACTGCAGGCAATGCGTATATTTGAGGAAAGTGTAACTCATGACGAGATTGTAGATATATTGAGAAATGTAACTCATGTGCAAGATCATTGGAAATTTATACTATCCAATAAATTTATCATTAACAATTTACTCCCAAAAATTGATAATCAAAGTATCATAGGTTTAAGCCGGAAAATAATTGATGATTTTAAAGAAAGTACTGTCCAGGATCTAGAGAATATTTCAGGTTCACAGTTAGTTCTAAGTGCTACTAGTTACGTGTGCATATTGAAACTTGAGCATATCTTATCGAAATGTAAGAATAAAGTAGAAAATGATACTTTTGATTTCATGAGCTCAAAAATGGCTGCCGTGTTTGATGAGGACCTATTTTTAACAAGGCAGCAAGGAAAATTTGGGGATCGCACTAAAGAAATTTTAAGTACCTTGAAAGATATATATATCGAAAATTTCGGAAAAACCGTCAAACAAGAAAATGCTATTAAAATCAGTGAACACAAATTTTCGAACGTTTTGGACGTATTGAAGCGATTTCCAATAATCTATTGTAGCCCACAACTTCAGCAAATATGTTTCATTTATTTTATAGCCTTGCACTATGATTTAGAGGAACATATATCGTTGAAATTAAAAGCTAATGTTGAAAATATTGTAATAGGAGCACTGCAGCATTGTAAGTTTTCTCTAACGGACACTCTTCGGTTAGACGTATTTCTGTTTCAAATTTTGAATACGTTTGATAGTTGGAAGGAAACATTTACGTTGACGGTTGAAAACGTATTTAAAAACGAAACAAGAATCAGATATTTGAAAGATTTTGTTACGAAGTTGTGCGAAAGTCTGACGGATTTAAAATATATGAGTTGTGCGACCATTATTTTGCAGTTTTTAAACAAGTCGAAGAAAACGAAAATGACGGAAGAATCAAAAATTCTGGTAAAGGAGTATAAACAAGCAATTTGTAGTGCAATTTTAAAACTAGTACAACAGAAGAAGCGCATAACAGAACCGCTATTTGTAGGATATGCTCACGTATTAAAATACGTTGCTTCGTCTTCCGAGAATGACATCGATATTTTGAAAAATCATTTGCAACAATATTTAGAGTATGCTTTGAAAACAATCAAAGATCAAATGATGAATGAAAAACAAGACCACTTAATTTTGCTTACCACATTTCTGCAAAACAATTCAAATGTACCCAAAGGAATTGTTTTGGAAATATGGGATGCATGCAAAGATATTGCACATGTTTGCAATGATCTGGAAGAATATGGACGTTTAGTAGTGCTTATTTCCATACAAATACCAAACGACGAATTCGCATTAATTTCGAAGCATTTGATGGCTGAATTGAACAAACATATTGAAGCTAAAGATCACGCGGCTCTTTCAAAGCATTTGCTGGTTTGGGAATTTCTCATAGCATGCAACTTGAATCCTATAAAGACTGTGATATTGCACGATGCTTTTGAGTATCTTCTACTGAAGATAACCGAAACGTTATCTGGACGAGACTACAGTGAAACATTATTCGAAAATATTCATAACTTGGAACAAACCCTTATTCGGACAAACCATCTCCATTTGACTCCGTCATTAGTACATCTTCTGCTGTTACAACCAGTTAAATTTTTGAATAGTTGCAACGATTTTCAAAAAGGCTGTTCTCGAGCTTTATCTTTGATGTCATCACTCCTGAGATTTCGGAAACCGCTGATAATGGACCGACTGCCAGTCTATCTAAGACAATACAGGTTGATTTTAAATGCAATTTGTGAACACGGAAATACAGAATTGCGTTTACAAGAAGCCGAAATTAGACAGATTTCTCATTGCGCGCATCAACTAGAAAAGTTGACGAACGACTTAGTGAGTTGCCAAAAAGATATTAGCAGGATATCTGTATACTTGATTGCCGATTTGCTGAGGCACTACGAAAACTTCACGCTTTATAGTGATGTTAAGATGCATTTGAATAATTGTATTTACAGTCTTATTTCATTATGTGATCAGCATATTGTAGCGAATCTGATGAGGGTGTTGTCTAACGCTTCAACCGAGATGTTTAAAATAATGTATGATAATTATAAGAAATATTATCGCTTTACTGGTAAAGTTTGAATATGTTTTTATATTGTTTTTTCTAATATATTTCATTACATCAAGAAAATAAAAATGTTTTGTGAATGTCTTGCTTTTTTCCAACATTTTGATCGATGGATATCATCCCAGTGTCTACGTGGGTGTTCCCCAGGGATCGAGCTTGGGTCCAACATTGGCTACGTGTGAGTGCGTGACGTGGTCATTGTCGTCTTTAAGCAATGAGGACTCTTTATACTTTATTAGTCGATTGAAAGCTAGAGACTAATAAAGTATACTAAGTGACATATAAATCCGAACACCCAGTTTAAATGGTTTTATTTTAATAAAAGTTTGTGAATGTGGTGGCTGTAAATAACAAGTGAAAAAATTTTCAGCCTTATCAGTTGGACATTCCGGTTTTTATACTGCTTTTTTTTTAATTCACTAACGCTCTAAAAATGAATATTTCAGCCGCAGTAAAGAATCAACGTTGGCGGATTTTGGTTCTTGACATCCTTTACGATCGGTTACGATGCCTAGAGTACGGAGACCTGTACGATTTCGTCAACTTAGTGAGTTTGATAGGGGCCGTATAGTGGAACTTCGGGAAGCTGGACTTTCTTTTCGGACAATTGCAGTTAGAGTGCAAAGAAGTGTAGACACTGTGGTTAGGTGTTGTCAGGCATGGCTTCGAGAAGGCCGTACGCAAAGAGCAAGGGGCACTGGACGCCGCCGTAGAACAACAGACCGTGAAGATCGCCGCCTTAAGGGACCGTTTCTCCACTACCAGGTCCATTGCAAATGAATGGTTTGCAGAACACGGAAGACCTATTGGCATGCGAAGTGTTTACCGACGAATGAGAAGTTTTGGCTTGTTTTCATACCGGCCACACCGGGTCCTCCCTTTAACTCGAGAACACCGACGTAATCGCCTTGAGTGGTGCAGACAACGGTCACTCTGGGATCAGGAATGGAACAGTATTGTCTTTAGTGACGAGTCTCGATTTTGTTTAGGCATGCACGATGGTCGTGCCAGGGTTAGAAGGCGACGTGGTGAAAGGAGGAATCCACAGTTTTTTGTTGAAAGACATGTTCATCACACTGTTGGAGTTATGGTTTGGGGTGCTATAGCTTATGGTTCCAGGTCACCTTTAATCTTCATCAGAGGTAACATGAACGCGCAGCGTTATATCCACGAAGTTCTAGAACCCCATCTTTTACCCTATCTTGACACCCTGGCAGATCCAACTTTGCAACAAGATAATGCCCGACCACGTGTTGCAAGAGTCACAATAGACTTCTTTCAACATAATGATGTCACATTGTTACCATGGCCACCAAGATCTCCCGACTTATCCCCAATTGAGCACGTGTGGGATATGATGGGTAGGAGATTGCTCAATTTGCAACGTCCTCCTCAGACTCTAGAAGCACTTCGAGAGGAGTTGGTGGTTGCCTGGAATGAGATACTACAGGAGGACATTGACCACCTGATCAGAAGCATGCCTAGGCGCGTTGGAGAATGCGTAGCACATCAGGGTGCATCCACACATTATTAAAGGTCAAAGGGCTTTAAAGCAGTGCAATCATTTTGAAACTTTTATCATTTACTTATTATGCTTCATTAAGTACTTATACAAAATTTTATTAAAATAAAACCATTTAAACTGGGTGTTCGGATTTATATGTCACTTAGTATATAAAGAGTCCTCATTGCTTGAGTGTTGTCGAAGTACCCAACTAAAGGCGGAAGCTTTTTTCAACTATATATATAAAACGGTTTAGTATAGGGCCCATACTGTCATATATCAATCTAGTTTTCACAATCCTGCATTTCTTAAAAAAAAAAACGATACATTTACATTATTTTTATTCTCCATGCTGTTATAATCTGGATAAAACCTATAATTTCTAACATTTAAACCATGTCAACAACAATAAAAATTGAAACATCCTTTGTATAGTAAGTACATCTTTTAGCAGTATTACCAAATCTGATTTTCCAAAATTTTGGAAAATCAAACATTTCATTAAAAATCCCATCTTTTTTAAAAAGAATAATACATTTTTTGTTAGGTGTTCACCTATTTCTATCATTCGAACACAATAAATCACACTTTAGTCACGAGGTTGTGGATAAAACTGAACAATGGTTTGGCTTAGCTTCTCGGCCAGTTCCTGCGACCCCGCTATAAGGACTCTTCTGGAAAACCTGTCCAGTTCCCCGCCTTTTGGATCCATAATAACACCGCCAGCCTCGGTGACGATCAGTTCCCCAGCAGCTATGTCCCATATGTGGATGCCATACTCAAAGTAAGCATCTGCAGCTCCGCAAGCCACCATCGCCATATCCAAGGCTGCAGAGCCCAGAGATCGTAAGCCATGAGCCTGCTTCATCAAAACAGATTGGTTCTCGCTGACAACTCTCTGTTTCTCTGGCTCTCTGCTAGTGCCTAGCTCGAACATCAGCAACGCTTCAGAGAGGTGTTTCTTGTCTGATACAGTGATCTTCTTTCCATTTAGAAAAGCTCCCTTGCCCTTTCTTGCAGTGAACAGCTGGTTCAACATCGGGTTGTAGATGATCCCAATTTGGGGCTTCTGCTTGACGAACAGAGCTATCGAAATGCAGGAATGCGGAAAGGAATGCACGAAATTCATAGTGCCGTCAATGGGATCGATGATCCATGTTGGGGCGTCGGTCAAAACGCATTGGCCCCCACCTGAGACTGTTTCTTCGCCGATGAACTTGTGGCCTTGGAATTTCTTTGAAAGATTGTCCATTAAGAGTTTTTCTACTTGTTGGTCGGTTTCAGTGACCAGATCTATGTCTGAAGACTTCTTTTCGATGAATTTGTCGCGATTTGAGATCTTCTCCTTCACTATCTCGCCGGCTTTTTGCACCAAATTCATCACTTCTTCATAGTATTGGTCCAAATGATGAGCTTCCTCTCCAGACATTTTGCTGTGGTTTCTGCACCTTTTCCGTGGTAGATTCGCAGGTAAATTTAGCAATAAAGCCGGATATTTGGAATGCTTCTCTAATTGATTATAATTGTATTTCGCGTATTTGCACAAGCGCGTGAATGTTACAACTAAACTCATAGGATTTTCTGACGTTATTGTTCCAGTATTTTCCACGGCGTACAGATATGGATGTACTCAGCATTTTTTTCCAGCTATCAATTATGTACACGCACCGAAACGTGCGACAGTTTGTTTTGCTATCAAATTATATAATAAATCTCAATTTTGATTTGATTTTGAAATTTGAATGACAAATGACTATCACGAGACCACTATTGAGTGCCTACATATCAATCGTGATTAATAGGCGTGACTGTATTTGCATCAATCAATCAGCAAATCCGTCAATGATCACATGATCTTTGAGTCATGGCTTGTTTCCCATATACATCTTGACAAGCATATGACATGACAAGTGACATTTGATTAATGTAACATCTGAAACTTATCCTTCAGTTGTCCATGTTTTGTGCTTAATTACTCAAACGTCAAACATATAGTCATTTGTGATTTTTGTTTGGATTTGTTATTCGTAAATTCAACGTTGAAGTGTTGTATTCTCTGTCGGATATAGCTCGTTTGTAACTCAGTGAGTAAATACTGCCTAGTCAACGTTCAAGCTTTCCGCTCAAATTTCAGTCGGTTCAGTGTCTAACCTAAAAGCAGCAGAGATGCCCAAATACTACTGCGATTACTGTGATACCTACCTGACGCACGATTCTCCAAGCGTGCGGAAAACGCACTGCACGGGCCGTAAACACAAAGACAACGTCAAATTCTACTACCAGAAGTGGATGGAAGAACAGGCCCAACATCTGATAGACGCTACGACAGCAGCCTTCAAGGCGGGTAAAATCGCGAACAATCCATTTGCGCAGCCCGGGAAGGGTGTGGCCATCCCTCCGCCGGCGCAGCTCGTGGGACAGAGACCCGGTGGCCCAGGGGGGCCTGGAATGATGCCGCCTGGACGTAAGTATACAGTCATGTTACTAATATTGCTTTTGTTCGTCCAACAGAGAGCCAACGTGTACAGCGCTGTTTCATCCTTATTGGCAATCATCAGCACAGTTTAGGTCATTAGGAATATCATAAGTATCTCTATGAAATGGAGGTACAGTTGCGTCTTGTAGAACTTCTGATTTCACTGTTTTCCCACTTGAAACTTATAGAAGGTAGTCTGATATATATTATTTTAAAACAAGAAAAGTGTGGATGAAGCACTATTTTTTCATGAATTTTTTTCCCAAAACACTATTTTTAACAGTTATTTCCCCGATTATTTCCACCTTGCTTGCCTGCGGTGTTGCCGGATTGGGCTGCGTATTTAGGGAAAACTACTAACACACTTTTTTTGTTTCTAAATAATCTATTAGACTAATGCTCTAACAGTTTTAAAACAGTGAAATCGGAAGTTCTACAAGACGCAACAGCACTGAAATGGATAAACATCACCAAGTTATTTACAAATAGGCATATATCTGTCAACTCCTTAGTGAAAAAAATCACAAATCTGCAATGCTTTTCTTGCTCCCTACGTTTTTCATCTCATCTTCTTGCTCTGAGAGGGATCAGTAGCTTTAGCTGTTCTAGAAGTGCTCCATTTCCTCTTATTATATTTTCCCATGATTGTCAGGGGATTTTGGTTCCAATTTGTGGGACTAAAACGAAAAAATTGTTTATCCAATAAAGTTTCATTCAAACACTGAACAAATTCATGATAAAGATGAACCTAGCATCTTGCCATTTAGGAAAATATATAAGTATAAAGGCTGTCCATACATGATGTTTTGAACACATTTTCTATTTCTAATCCATCATTTTTTTTCCAGCTATGGGACCAGGTGGTCCAATGCCCCCAATGATGATGGGTCCTCATGGACCTGTGCCGGCTCCAATGATGGGAATGAGGCCTCCAATGATGGGTATGATGCCTGTGGGTCCCATGGGACCTATGGGGCCTTTACGACCGCCTATGGGACCCCCTATGAAGAACTAGGATTTTCTATGAAATTTTATATGTTGTATACATTTTTGTGTATATTGTATGTTTGATATGTCAGGTGATAGTGTATTTTAATTTAAGTAAAATAAATATTTTGTAAGAATACTTTTTTTTCTGTCAGAAGTAATCAATCTCATTTATTTTTTTAAGCAATTGTAGCTAAACCCTTTATATGATTTTTTCATATATACCTAGAAAAAATCACTTCTCTAATTTGATTTTTTGGCAAAGAGGTAGTCTTACATCAAGAATGAAACGATAACATTCTCATGAAATTTTATTGACAAGTTATAAAAAAATTGATGTGTCCTCAATCCAAGCAACTCGAACTCCGTGCAGCAGTCATATTGCCTTGAACAAAGAGAAGGGGTGATCAGCTACCATAGGCAATAGCCCCCCAAACCATTACTCCATCAGTCCTGGGTATATGTCTCTCAACAGCAAATCCAATATAACGCCGTCATCCACCCTTTTACGAGCATCGTGCCTACCTTGACAGAATCGCAATTCGTCGTTGAACATGACATTATGCCATTCTGCCTCCCAATGTTGCCGTTCTGTGCTCCAGTTCAAACGATGACGACAGTGGTCCGCAGTCAGAGCAAGCACCAACCGTGGACGGTATGAAAACAGTCCAAGTGCCCGAATCCGGCGATAAAGTGCACGCATAGTAACAGGTCTACCTTCTTTTCCAAACCTTTGGTCAGCGATCTGACACGTAGTAGCAAAGCGGTTATAAGTACAATACAGCAGACGCTCGATAACGTAAACACGGGATAATGAAAACTTGCGCTAATGTAAACACAAACTTCGTTCTATAGGATCAAAAGGAACGCGCGATAACGTAAACGATGTGTACGCTCGATAACGTAAACAACTCTCGGCGCACGGAAACAGCGATAAAAGAAAGTGTTTAAAGTTGAGTGAGAAAGTGAAAATCATAGACGAAGTTTCACTAGGTGCGGGAGTGACACAGTTAGCAAAAAAATATGGAGTATCGAAAGCATCAATCTGTAAAATTAAGCGTATGAAAACTCAAATTTTACAAAGAACGTGCAATACATTTGGAGGTCCGGGAAGAAAAAGTTTAAAAAATGCGAAGGCACCTAAAATGGAAAATTCCCTGTATAAGTGGTTTTTAAAACAGCGGGAAAATCATGTCCCAGTTAGTGGCGAAGTACTTAAACAGAGAGCGAGACTGTTAAATGAAAAACTGAAAGAAAAAGAAAATTTCGTAGCTAGTGATGGCTGGCTACAAGATTCAAAAACAAGATATGGGATTCGACTGCTGTCTATATGTATATCTGGTGAAAAATTATCAGCACAACCACAATTAGTGCAACCATTCAAAGAAAAATTGATGAAAACAATTACCGAGCTAGATTTAAGAATGGAACAAATTTACAACGCAGATGAAAGTGGCCTTTATTGGAAAATGTTATCAGAGAAAACCTATGCTGCATCATTTGAAAAATCTGCCCCGGGAAGAAAGCCGGAGAAACAACGAATAACGTTTCTAGCCTGCACTAATGCTAATGGTTCACACAAAATAAAGCCACTGGTAATTGGGAAAGCAAAAAATTCGCGCTCATTTAAAAATGTTAATATCCCTGTTGATGATGACTGTTCAAAAACCGCATGGATGACTAGCAGTATATTCCTGAAATGGTTCCACTGGTGCTTTCTCCCTCAGGTATGACAATCAATTATCACAAATGCTCTATTCATAATTTGAAGATGTGTTTTCAATTTGTAGGTAAAAGGTTTCCTTAAACAACAGAAGCTTCCAATAAAAGCGTTGTTACTATTGGATAATGCACCAAGTCATCCTCCCGAGCAACAACTGAGGAGCAGGGATGGGTCAATTTTCGTCATGTACATGCCGCCCAACGTAACACCGTTAATTCAACCGATGGACCAGAATATAATAAGGCTCACCAAACTATACTATAGGAAGTTTCTACTTTCGTCTGTCTTATCAGAGAATCCTGAAAACTTATCTGAGGCTTTAAAAAAAGAACATTACGAGAAGCTGTTTTAGATTTACATATGGCCTGGAATGAACTTAACCAGCAAACTATTCAAAAATTTGGAACAATCTCTTTTGTACCAATAATGAAGATGATGAAGAAGACGATGTCCCCTTAAGCGTAATTAGAGAACGTTTGCGATCCAATAATGATAATGTTATTAGTGTGTCATTGGATGTTCTTGATTTATTGAAAACAGTGAATCCCAATATTGTTTGTACTCCTGCTGATATTAATTTATGGAACGAAGATATGAAGATGCTGATAAGGAGGAGGATATGGACAGTGAGGATGATGAGAACGATCCCATTGAAGTCAGAAGTGATTGACGCGCAAGCTATACAAGTTTTTAACCAAGATTGGGCTGAAAGAAAAGAAGTTTCATACACGGATATTTTAGTTCTTCGTAAATTACGGGCGCAGGCATTGGAAGACAATGCTAAGCACAAATTTACGCAGACAAAAATTGTTAATTATTTTTCTTCTAATTAAAAAAATACTTATCGCTGTTAGAATATTTGTTTATTTTGTTATAAATAGTATGTATTAAACGTTTCTTTTAATAAATCAAATATTATATAAATCACGTTCGCTAATGTAAACATTTCGATCATGTGAACCACACTTGGATTAAATTAGTTTACATTATCGAGCGTCTGCTGTATTTAAGAAATTTCCCTTGATTTAAATAATACCGTATGTATAGAAAGGGTTCCATATCAAAGAGGCGTTAAGTTTTGGTTGCACCAGCGAAATAAAGAGCTTCTAGTGCTGCTTCCTTGGGAAAAGATCGCCAGTTACGCAACATAAACTTGGAATCTGTGTCGCTTCGGAAGTGACGCCAGCTACATGGACAGAAAAGTCCAACCTACAGAAAAATGATAAATCAAGATCATTAGTCTGTGTTGTTTCTCTCCAAAACCGTATTATTTGTGTAATAATCAAAGATAATGGAGTTCATGTGACTACCTGAACAAACTTTGTTCATGGAAATGTTTGAGGAGAGAAACTGTGTGATAGTATCTAGATCCCCCTTAAGGGAAATACAGTTCTATTTCATTAGCTAAAGCTTGATAAATTTCGATATCTGTATTTGTCTGACATTGTAAATAGTCAAATTTTCACAATTTATTAAACGGCTTGATGGATTTGATGGCACAGTTACTGCAGTCAGGACTTTTGTATTTGTCAAAAATGTAATTGTTTTAGATTCCAAATAAAAATTTGAAAAAAATATCCCGGGATTTCCCTCAAACTAGTTGTAAGAACTTTTCACTGTATTCGAGAGCCCTCAGAAATTTTAAATATTCCGTAGTGCTCGGGATCCGTATTATAATCAAGCTAACATTAAAATCCACGATTGGAACTGACAAAGCCACTTCACTATTTTTATGTCAATGCCATAAAAAGTCCGTATCGCTTTCAGTTTCCACGACAAATATTTTATATTTTGAATGCAAATAAGGTATATGCATGTACTTTTTGTATTGTCTCTTGATTATTCACGTTAATATGATATCCTAAAGACATATTTAATTCATGGAAATATGATTTTAAATAAATATTAAAAACCACAATGCCAATAGGGTTGTTGTTGTGATTTGATTGCATTTTTGGTTAATGAGCTGTCAAGTTCAAAGGTTTTATTCTAGCATCGATGAATTCCGGTTGCCGCTCAGCCTCCTCATTCGCATGACTTGAGTCCTTGAGACTTTTTTCTTCCCGAAGAAAAATCACTTCGAGAGAACTCATTTTGGGGCGAAAACACTCAAATCGCTGTAACCAACCAGCTGAAGGCTATGTATATCGACCGACTGATTCACATGTGATTGTTGCTTTGATAATGCAAATAGCTTTACTGGAAACAAAATCTATGCCATTATTTCTGACCTTGTCATGTAGAAATTTCGACCTGGCGACACAAGACAAGCGACGGACTCGAGAGCAGCGGCGGCACGTCATCAGCAGTGTCGCCGAACCGGAAAAGACGAGTGTTCACCAACTCAACTAAAAACGTAGTTTATACCTTATCTCACGAGTATCCATCACGGTAGTATGACAACTGATTTTCTAGTAATATCTCAAAATTCCCCATATTGTCACAGGACACATAATTCTGACGGATCCGTCAACGCCAGTTAGACATAGCCGAATTTTGTTTTTGCTTATTGTATTCTACCGATTCATTTTGTACGTGCTAACAGCTCTTTTATTCAGAAAAGTTCATTTGCTTCCAAAAAACAAAATGCCACAAACAAGTCTTACTATTTATACTCGATCCATCATTGCCAACGTTGCAGACTAACACAGAAATGTCACTTGGTGACAGCAATAAAACGTCATAATTGTCAAAGCCGCCAGCATCACACTGTTTCCCATTCTCCTATATGAGTTGACTCACTATTCTGAAGGTGGATTGCATGTCGATAATCTACCATATATGTCTAGCTAATGAAACGAAGTATTCTAAAAAATTTTACATGAACCTTCTACGTTATTCCAAGCTTCAGCACTTCTGTAATCTGTTTGATGACTGTTGCATACCTTGGCAACTACATAAAAAAGTTAACGTAAGAAAACCGATGCTTCCACCCCGGCTACTTTCACGATACTTTGTAAAGCACTTAAAAGTTTCGGGATGCGAGGACAAATTGGGCGAGTGGAGAGTTGTTGTTTTTGTTTGGAACTTTGACTTGGTTCGACGGACGTAGAATATGTTTTACATCTTTCGGTACAATCCTGCAGAAATGGCGGCACTCACATAGTCTACTAGGAGAATAAACTTTACGGGATTCTAGTTTGTGCTTAAGCTCGTTATAATTTATGATACCCTTAGATATTTTGGTAAATTGTTGAATAGGTGAATGCAGTTGTAAACTACAAATCTTCAATACGATAATGATTTATGGCCAGGAAAACTTAAAGGCGTACTGCGTGTTGTATACTTGTGGTTACTTCCAAGGAGGGTTGATTTTTGACAAATGTTACATATTTTAATTTATAGATTGATGAAAGTGTTACAATTCCGTGTTCTCTAAAAGTTTTCCCGATAGCTTACATCAAAAATGAGCCTAATTATTTT